CAAACAAAGGTTAAAGTGACTTACTCAGGATCACAAGCTAGTAAGTGTCTGAGGCCAGATTTGAACTCAGGTCTTACTGACACCAGTCCCAGGGGTCTATCCACTGGGTCACCTAGCTGCTTCACGGAAGTAGAAAGAAAAGGGGCAGATGAGGCAGCTAGGTGGCACAGGGGATAGAGCACTGGCCCTGCATTCAGGAGGGACCTGAGTTCAAATCTGGCCTCAGACACATAACACTTATTAGCTGTGTGACCCTGGGCAAGTCACTTAACCTCATTGCCTAGCGAAAAAGAAAAAAAGAAAAAAGAAAAGGGGCAGCTAGATGGCACAGTGGATAGAGTAGAATGTTCCTGAGTCATAATCTGGCCTCAGCCTCTTCTTAGCTGTGTGACCCTGGGTAAGTCACTTTACCCTGTTTGCCTCAGTTTCCTCATCTGTAAAATAAGCTGGCAAAGGAGATATCAAACTATTCCAGTATCTTTGCCAAGAAAACCCCAAATGGGATCATGAAGGGTTGGACACAACTGAAAAATGACTAAACAACAAGCCCAAGAGGCATGCTGGTGGAAGAATTGCAAATCACAAGACTTAAAATAGGAAGAGACTTTAGAAATCATCTTTACCTCCTCTCCCATTTTACAGAAGAGGAAACTGAGACCCAGAAAAGAGAAGTAGCTTATCCTAGATCACCCAAGCTAACACAGACTCAGAGAGATTGTATGGACAGGAAGGACTCAGTGACAGGCAGGACATGGAGATGAAAAAGGGTGTCTTCAGTACAACCAGTGGCATGAGCTGCATTGACAAGGTCCCAAGGAAAGGCAGGCTAGGCAAGAACGGCAATAAACAGAGTAAGGACAAGGTTGGGAATAGAAGCCAGTGGGAAAGAACTAACCTCAAGTGCCAACAGCAAAAAGTGACCACCAAATATCTGATAACTTCCATTATTTTATTTTTTTTTTGTTATCCACCAGAGTCAAGTAACCAGAACCGAGCTCAATCCCTGGGGCTTGCCAATCACCGAAGAGCTACTCTGCAAATATGAACACAGGCATCACAGATACAAGAATATCAGGTGCTTGTCAGAAGAAGGAAGCAGCACCTTCATGCAAATTCAAGCCCAAGGGCATGGAAATCATAAGGCTAGGGGAGTCTTTCCCCCAGCTTAAAACACCTGTGGGTGTAATGGAAAGGATACTGGATTGAGAATCAGAAGCCCTGGTTTCTCATCTCAGCTCCCACTATTTGAGGGACTTGAGGAAAATCACTTAACCCTTCAAGGCCTCAGTTTCCTCCTCTGTAAGATGAGAGGATTGGATTGGATGATCCCTAAGACCTCTTTCAGTTCTCTGGTCTCCTTACACAGGGTTTACTACTGCCCAGGCCAGCCTGTCCAGTGCCAGGAATTTCACAAATGCTTCTAATAATCACTTTCCTTTCTTATGGCCAATTCCCATTCATTATCTCATTTAATTTTCCCTGCACAATTAAGATGAGTCAGGCAGTATTTTCCCAATAAGGTAATGTCAGCCTCTGAAGGGCAGGGATTATTTTGCTTTTGGTTTTGTATCTCCAGAGCTTAGCACAGGGTTTGGCACATACTAAGCACTTAATACGGGTTTGCTGATTGAGTGACTGAGTGCAAGTGACAGTCTTTAGTATATCTGAAGACAGTTAGCACGTTCCCCCACCCCTATCCCAGGCTTCTCTTCTATAGGCTATGCTTTTCCAGTTCCTTTAACTGATCTTCATATAGCATATATCCAAGACTTTTGCCATCTGGGTTGCCCTCCTGTGGACACTCTCCAGCCTATTGCTGTTTTTTTTAGTAGATTAGTTGTATCTTACTCTTTGTGACCTTGTTTAGGGTTTTCTTGGCAAAGATAATAGAGTGGTTTGCCATTTCCTTCTCTAGCTCATTTTATAGATGAGGAACTAAGTGATCTGTCCATGGTCACACAGCTAGTAAGTGTCTGAGGCTAGATTTGAACCCAGGTCCTCCTGCCTCCTGGCCCAGGGCTCTATCCTCTGTGCCACCTACCTGCCCTCCAGCTTATTAATGTCCCTAAAATATGGTAAATGCAAAACTCCAGATGTGATCTGATCAAAACAGAGTACAGGGAATTTATCTTCTCTTTATTCCTGTAAAAAGACATACCACAAAACTCCTTTCACATCTCTGCTGGCCATAGACCACATGTGAAAAATCTAGTAACGTGGTTAGACCAGAACACAATCACCTTGCTTTCTGTGTTTAATTTGTCTTTGTGCATTTTTCCTACCCATTCGTCTATGGGGGAGAAAAGACAATGGAAGAATCTCGAACCCCAGAACTGTTTGGTAGTTAAGGGATGACCATTGCCTGGTTTAGAGTCTACACTTCAGAGATTAAGAGGCCTATGAAATGCTTACCATAAACTAGAGTTGGGTTTCAGACAGAAGGATCCAAGTACTGGACCTGGAAAAGGAGTCCAAAGAAAAGACTAACCCTGAGGGCATTAGGTAGCTGGAGAGACTCTTCTTGTTTTAAAGATAATGATGATGGTGATGATGATGAAGAAGAATTAGAGCATAGCACATTTAACTATGTGCCAGGTGCTGAGCTAAGTGCTTTACAAATATTATCTCATTTTTATCCTCACAACAACCCTCAGAGATGGGTGCTATTATTATCCCTATTTTACAGTTGAGGAAACTGAGACAAACAGAGGTTAAGTGACTTGCCCAGGGTCATATAGCTAGTGTCTGAGGTCAAATTTTAATTCTTGTCTTCCTGAAAAGATCTTCTTGGAGAGATTAGAATCTAGGATTGAGAATCTCTGGCTGGGGAGATTAGAGACTTCTAGCCAAGAATCTGGAGGGAACAAAAGAAAAGAACTTAAGGGAAGGGGTTTTTTTGGTTTGTTTGTTTTTTGCTAGTCCCAGGGAAGGGTTTGTATCTTTTCTAAAAGAGCAAGAAAAAGTCTGTGGTATTTAAGATATATGAACATGGACTTCCCTGCTTTTCCCTTGATTTCAGCAGAACCAGAAACCGGAAGTCAGTTAGTCAAAAGCATTTATTAAGCACTCATTATGTACCAGGCACTGTGCTAAATGATGGGAAAGCAGAAAGACAATTACAGGTAGCATTTAGTAGTGTCATTCTTCAAAGCATCAAAAGAGACTGTCTAACCAGAAGAACAGTGTTTTTTCTCTTTGCCTTAGTTTCCTCATTTGTGAAACAGGGATAATGCTGTGTGACCCTGCGCAAGTCACTTAACCCCGATTGCCTCACACACACACACACAAAAAAATCTTATGGCACAGTGGATAGAGCACCAGCCCCGAAGTCAGGAGGATCTGAGTTCAAATCTGGCCTCAGACCAAACACATGACACTTACTAGCTGTGTGACCCTGGACAAGTCACTTAACCCCAATTGCCTAAAAAAAAAAAATAGGGATAATGCCTACACTATTTCACAAGGTTGTTGGGAGATAAGTGCTTTATAAATTACAAAATGCTATTCAAAACAGACCAATTCAACATTTATTATGCCCCTACTATTGGCTATGATGAGGTAAATGGAACAGTGATTAATGTGTGAATGAAGATGGTTTGCTTGAGGGACAGTAAGAAGACTGCCTTGTCTAGAGCAGAAAGGGGATGTAAGGGGCAGCTAGGTGGCACGGTGAATGGAACAATGGCCCTGGAAGCAGGAGGACCTGAGTTAAAATCCAGCCTCAAATACTTACTAGCTGTGTGACCCTGGGCAAGTCACTTAACCCCAATTACCTCTGAAAAGAAAAAACAAAATGGATGTGAGCTTGGGAAATGTGAGAAATAAGTTTGGAAAGATACATTGAGAACCTTGAACGTCAGACTAGATTGTTTGGATTTTACTCTGTAGACAACTAGAAACAGTTAAAGCTACTCAAAGCCAGGGCAGAGGAGGGATCTTGCCACTGAAACTCTTCTGAGATTAGAAGGGAAGAGTTCACCCTAAGTTTCTCCCTAAAACATCTGCTGTCAGCCGTCTGTGAACGTGTATATGTATCTGTCTCTCTCTCTCTCATTCTCACGTGTTCCTTCCGTCTACTCTTTTATCTGCAGTTTATTTCCTGTCTTAACAGACCTCAGTGACCTGCTGGCAGAAGAAACACCAAGTAGTTGGGACCTGCTCCAGAAACCACTACACTGGCCTAACTTTCCTCCTGCCCAGGTGGTGTGTGTCCCGGGAGCGACAGGCCGGGGAGGAAAGGATCCAAGTGATGGACAGTGAGGGGTCCAAGATCGGTGAGGGAGTGCCCTGGAGTCCACAAGTCCAGAATGAGAAGATGGGCTAAATCACCATGGGACTATCTATTGTTCCACTGAGGCTACTATCCTCAGAAATGGGCTAGAATCTGAGGAAAGGGTGGTTCACCTCAGGGCCCTCCTGGATGTTTATTAGCCTCTTCTCCTCCAGAATCTTCCTGTTCCTGGAGTTTCCTGGGTTGAGATCAGGCCAAGATACTGGAGAGCAAGGAGCAGGCTTAGCCTCAGTGACTATTCTTTATCCTGAAGTCTCTGGCTACAGGACCTTTTTGAAGCTGGGGTTCCCTCCTCCCCCACCTCTCTCCTGTGCTTCTGTGGGGCATCCAGCCATTTCAGGGCCTGCCTGGGAAGAAGACAGCATCTCAGGGGCAGAGCCAAGGAACAAGGCACCCACCATGGCCTTCCTCCTGAGGCTGCTCAGGTTTGGGACAGAGAAAAAGAAGGCAAAGCATTATACAAACGTGAAACGAGATGTGAATCCTGAGGATTTGTGGGAACTTGTGGGAGAGCTGGGGGATGGAGCCTTTGGGAAAGTATTTAAGGTAAGCATTCTATGGCTAGGACTGATTCTTGGGAGGGAGGCTGAAGGTGTTTACCTACCAACTTGGCCCAGCTGGAGACATACCCCAAAGGAGATCAGCTTCCCTGGGATGTGGTTTTGGAGACCTTGGTCATCTTGGGATGAGCCATAACAGAATAGGGGAGCAGGGTCCTAGGTCTTCTCTCACCAGAGAGGGGTGGGTAGGATAAACCCTGGGGGATCTGATTCTTCCAGTCTCATCTGAACTTGGCCACCTGCTAGAAAGAGCTGGCATTAAGAACATAGATTTAGAGATGGACCGCCCTTATTTTACAAAAGTGGATAAAGAGGCTCAAAGAGGATAATGACTTGCCCTGGGTGACCCAGCTAGTAGGTATCAGAGGTGGGATTTGAGCCTAGGTCTTCCTGGCTCTAAGTCCTATACTTTATCCATCATGTCCTACATATTACACTGCATGAAGGCACCCCACACACAGATGCTCAAAATAAAACTGAGAATTCCATGGCCCCCACTGCTAAATCTGTATATCTGTATGTTTCCCTCCTTCTCTTGTACCCTTACCCCTGATTTCCTCATGTTTTTAATGTTCCCATATTCAGTTTTCCCTTCTTTCTTTTTGCTCTGTCCTTTGTTGATCTCATCCACATTTAGCGCTTCAATTATTACCTCTCTGCAGACTACTCCCTACTTGTTTTTTCAAGCCCTGACCTCTCTTCTCACTTCCTGTCCTGCATTTCAAACTGCCAACTGGACATTGCTACTTGGATATGCCACTGACCCTTCAAACAGAAACAACAAAACTCACCATCTTCCACCCCAAACTACTTTCTCCTGACTTGGCCATCTCTGTAGGTGGCACCACTTCCTAGGTACCAAGGGTAGAAACATCAGGGTAATCTGTCAGGTACAATTTGTCCTCAAGTCCTATCGATGATTGAGTCTTCCTTTCTGATGTCATTTGAAAGTGTTTCCTCCTTTCCATTCCCACTACCTGAACTGAAGTCTTCATTACTTTTCACCAAGACTAGTTCAGAAACCTCCTTCTGGGCCTTTCTGCCTCCATTCTCTCCCCTTCTACTTCATGCTATATGCCATCACTCTGTTAATCTTCCTAAAGAAGTAGCCTTCTCTCCTTGCACAATAATGGTCAATATCTCCCCATTGCCTACAGAATAAAGTACAAACTCCTTAATCTAGCATTCCAGGTCTTCCACTATCTAGCTCCAACTCATTTTAATCTCCATCTCCCATCCTTCCCTTATACATACAAAATGCTCCAGCCAAATTGGACTAACCTGTTATTCTCCCAACACATCTGACCATTTCTCCCCATATTTTGTCCGTGCCATTCCTTCTGCCTAGAGTGAGCCAATTAATCCCCCATCCCCACCTCCTGGCCATCTTTCAAAGCTCAGATCAACTGCCACATCCTCTAGGAAGACTTCTTTGTTCACCCCAATCAGAAGAGATTTCTTTTTGCCCTAAAATTATATTGTACATATTGTCCCATGATACAACATATGGATCCTTGCATTGTAATTATTTGTATCCCTGTCCTCTCATCTCCCCTCGGGAGCAGGCACTGTACCTGACATAGTATCTCATACATAGCAGACACTCAATAGGTTGGTGTTTGTTTGCTTTTTAATGGATGGTAAATTAATGAATTAATAAACTCTGCCTGAATGTCTTCGGCAAAAATAATAGCTGACACTTATATACTGCTTTAAAGTTTGCAAAGTGCCTTACTGAGAGGTAACATGGCCTTGACTGAGAGCTGACCTCAGGCAGGAAAGCCTAGATTCAAGTCTGGTCTCTCACACCCACTGGCTATGTGACCCAAAAAGGCCTCGTACTTCTCACTATACCCAGGCAATTTTAAAATTGTAATTTGCCCATGAGAGAGGAAGTTCCTCACCCAGACCTTCCCACTCTGATGAAATTTCAGATAGGATTTTTTTTTAAATCACTTTGCATAGATTATCTCATTTGAAACTCAGAGCCATCCTGTGAGGTCAATTTTACCTATGGATATGATTAACTTCATTTTACACCTGTAGAAACTGAGGCTCAGAAAGGTTAAGTCTCTTGCCTAGGGTCACACAGCTGTCAGAATTCTTCCTGCTTCCAGGCTCAGCCCTCTGTCCACCGTAGAACACTGCTGGACTGAGATGCTATCAAAACAGGAGAGTAATCTGTTCTAGCTCTGATATTAGATGGCTTGTGTGACCTTGGACACATATTTTCCCTCTACATCTCAATTTCCTCATCTGAAAATGAGTAGGTTGGATTAGTTGACCTGTACAATCCCTTCAAGCTATAACAGTTCTTGAGTTTGTAAGGGGCCCAAGCCCCTTTTCTTAGGCCCTGTTTTCTGCGGCCAAGAACAATGACACACCAGCATTCAGTTTCCTGTTTATGGCTCTTGTTATTATGAAGTGTGGTTTCAACGAGAAAAAAAAGTCACACAAAAGCAAAGCTTGTGGAGGGCTTATTTTTGTCCCTTGTGCATTTACAGAGTTTTCTTCTGGACACCCACTTAGATGAGATGCTTATCTGTGATTGCCCAAAGAGTAACGGTGGGGAAGGGGAAAGCTATCAGGTGAGATGGAACAGGGTTTAGACCACCAAATGGGCACCTGAGCCCAACTGGCACAACTCATGTTGTTGGCCTCAACCAGAAGTGGCAAAGCTGGCTGCTTATATGAACTTTCTACCTCTTGCCATTTCTATACACTTATACGTCAATGGCCTGAGTCTTGCTGACGAGGCCATCGACCAGATGGAGAAATCACCCCAGAGGAAATCAGTACACAACTGTCTCTATTTATACTGTATTCCCACAGTACACTCTGGGGTCCTCGAGAACAGGGATTTTTTTTTTGGCTTTCCTTTGTATTCCTAGCACTTTGGCACAGTGCCTGGCACATACTAAATGTGAATGCTTATTGTTGACTTCACTTGACTAGTGGCTACAGATTCACTTCTACTTTTTGAAAAAGTACATGATGAGCCCATTAAGGCAAGAACTGTAGTATTTATTCAAAAAACTTGAGTATGGTACAGTGGACTAAGTACTAGAGGAAGGAGATATAAATAGTTAACATAATTCCTACCCTCAAGAAGCTTACAATCTAGTAAGGATGTTAAATGTGCACAAATATAGATTATGATAGGCAAAAAGAAGTGCATAAAATGAAGTGAAATCAGATGAAGTAAGAGATCAGTTCTATCTGGGAGGATCAGGGAAGGCTTCATAGAGGAAGCACCATTTGAGTTGAGACTTGAAAGATTGGTTCAAATGTCATAGACAGAAAAGAAGTATATGATGTACATTGTAGACAAAGAGATGTGTGTGAGCAAAGGAATAGAGGAGGGAAAATTCAGGAAAGGTTTGGGGGGATTGGGAATAGTCATGGGCTCATACAATCATATATTTAGAAATGATCAAGGCTTGGACATCATTTAGGCCAACCCCTATATTTTATAGATAAAGAAGGTAAGGATCAGAGAGGTGAGTGACCTGCCCAAGGACAGTTTGACAGGAACATGTAGAGGGAATAGTGGCAAAAAGGTTGGAAAGATAAATTGGAGCCTAGTTGTGAAGGCTCTCGAATGCCAGCCAAAACTGCAGAGACTTTATTTGGTATAATTGGACCAAAGTCTGGTTGAGACTATGAACTTCAGTCTGATTAGTGATATGAAATCAAGCAATCATGGCAAGTCTTAGTTGAGTCCTTAGGTTTTATAGAGCATTAGGGACACGCTACCAGTTTTCTTGCAATCTTCTGTAGGAATAAAGGGCTTCTTGGCAACAAATTAAGCACCAACCCAACCTGCACACCTGATTCCCTTTCTCAAACCATTTCCATAGCATTTTGCTTCTTCCACAACAATCCTGGGTTGAGTGGCAGATCACAAAATGTTCTTTGTTATAATTGAAACATGTTGGATTTCCTTTGGTAGAGACCGTCTGAAACTCTACAGAACAAATGTGACATATTGGGGACAAGGAGTAACTGATCGGGCTTAATGTGTTAACCAACACAAAGATATTTGCATTTTAAACACAATGATGGCTTAAATTGATGTGGGCCTTGGGGTTAAGGGGAACTTTCCCCTACATGAGCTCATTCGCTCCTCACAAGTGCTCTGAGGGGAGGGAGGAGATACTCTAAGTATTGCTTACACCATTTTCAAATGGGAGAGGCTGGAGCTGAGAAAGCTTGAATTCCTCCCCTAGAGTTGTCAAGTCAACAAGTTAGTCAAAAGGGGCAGCTAGGTGGCACAGTGGATAGAGGAACGGCCCTGAAGTCAGGAGGACCTGCATTCAAATCTGACCTCAGACCAAACATTTGACACTTACTAGCTGTGTGACCTTGGGCAAGTCACTTAACCCCAATTGCCTCACTAAAAAAAAAAAATTAAAAAAAAACAAGTTAGTCAAGTAGCATTTATTAAGCACCTACTATGTGCCATGCACTGTGCTAAGGGCTAGGGATGCAAAAAACAAACAAACAACAAACAACAGTCCCTGTTCTCAAGTAGCTCACAATATAAAGGAGGAGATGACATGTACAGTTACATACAAACAAGATATGTATGGGATTAACTGGATAAATTCCCTCAGAGGGAAGGTACTAAGATTAAAGAGGACCAGGAGGGGCTTCTTGTGGAAGGTAGGACTTTAGTTGAGACTTGAAGGAAGCAGGGAAGCCAGGAGATGGAGATGAGGAGAGAGGGAGTCCTGAGCATGGAGACAGTCAGAGAAAATGCCCACAGTTGGACAGTGAAATTTCTTGTGTAAGGAAGAATAAGACCACTGTCACTGGACTGCATAGTGTGTAAAGAGGAGTAAGGTATAAGAAAACTGAAAAGTTAAGAAGGGGCAAGGTTATAAAATCCTTTAAAAGCCAGACAAATGATTTTTGTTTGATCCTGGAGGTAATAGGGAGCCATTGGAGTTTATTGAATAAGGGGATAACATGAAGACTTGGTGA